TAAGAATATGAAAAATACAGGAAAGAATTTACACTGAATGAAAATCATGGTCATTCCTTAACTATATGATCCATTAAAGAGCAACAACATTAAAACTTTATCACTTTTAAACAGAAGTGTGCACTTCGGGGAGCAGGGAAGATTTCTTAATTTCCTTCTTTTGGTTTGAAAATGGAATTACTGGTTTCTGAATGACCTTGTAATTAAAATGGAGGAGACTGCATATCATATGAACAAGCTTTGCAAGGCCTGCTTAGGATGATCAATATGATTGCCCTGCAAATTACCCGTTACACAGAAAGTAAGCATTTTCTGGAATTCATCACAACACTGCAAATTAAGATACTTTACAATCCATTTTCAGCACTAGAACTGTCTTACTGTGTAACCTTGGGCAAATCACATCTTCGCTTGCTGCCTCTCAATGTCAGATCTTCCAATGAGCAGCTTTTATTAAGACTTTAGTAATGCTGTAATTTTATCAAGTCAGACTGACTAAAAGCATCTCTTACCTCTAGTCTACATATTCCACCAACATTTTTAAAAAATCCTGCCATGGATAAATAAATCTTGTACCTAAGTTAACACAAGGATCCAACGAGTGGCTTTCAAAGCCTTAAGTACTGGCACAAGTAGGAAAAATTCCTGTTCCTGGGATCAGCCGGCAGAGTCAAACAATGCACATCCTTTGACTATTGGTACAGAGGACAACAAAACACTGCAGGAGTCTGCAGAACAGGTTTTAACCACTAGTTTTCTCTTAGTGTTTTTTACACTTGTCTACGGTTTCAGTCAGACAATGTAGTTACATCAAGTTTCAGTATCAGGCTGCCCCTAAGTTAGACTCAACATCAGTTCTTCTTGTCTCTTCTATAGCAAACCTAGAAAACGATGAGGTATTTTAATAAAGTCACCTAAGTAAGTCTAAGAGAAATTTGCAGAGAATATCCTATGCTGAATGCTGGGGGGGGGGGGATTTATAGAGAAACAGGCATTTCTGACATCACCCAAACTCCCATATGAATTATACCCTCTATATACAGTCCTAGTTCAACTTAAAGTTAACTTTAGCTATATGTAACAGCCTCTAAAGGGCTGGAAGCACAAATGAAATAACAGTGGATCCTTTGTTGCCCAATGAGGAAAATTAACAAGCTTAGGGTTTTAGCTTTACAACCCAGCCACTTTAATTATACGCATTAAAACTGCCGCACTGACCCCGCTTCACAATATTCACACTTCGGGCTAAAAAAAGCAGCCACCTCGAATCCAATCGGGTAAGGCCTTGTTCCAGGCTATACTTTTTCGCTACACGGGACTGATCAGCCAGATTGCATGCCAGGTCACGGCAGTAATCCGGCTTCCCAACGGGCTCTCCTTGAGAAGCAGGGCCTGCCTGCTGCCCCAGCCAAGCCCTGGGGCTGGAAGGGGAGCCTCCTCTTCCGTTAGGACTCCTCTACAGGAGTCCTAATGCCAAAGCCGGAGGGCAGAGCGTCCCCTCCCACGGCTTTCGGCCACGTAGCGCGGTACCGGCACTCCCAGACCCACCCCAGCAGCACAGCGCCTCCAGCCTCCGCTCCCCCTCACGTCTCAAGGATACATTTTCGCGGTGAGGGCTCCCGCCAGCCCTGGCCGCTACCGAACCCGGCACCGCCTCCCCCTACGGGCGGCCTCCCCGGAGGGTTGCCGCCACGATCGCCGCCGCCTCGGCTCCTACCCCAGCGACCTCCGCCCCTGTAGGGCCGGCCTCGGAAGCGGAATCGGTCCAAGGCATTGTGGCTGCGCTCCCAGAAGGAGAGCCGGGGGCCCGTGTCGGAGTGCGTTCCCGACGGCATCCGCGACGCCGGCATGGGCGGCGGATGGGAGCGGAACGAGTCCTTGGGCCGATACCCGCCGTGGCCGTGCGGGTGCCCCATCTCCGGCGGCGGCTGGTGCCGTGAGCGGGGGAAGGGGCGCCCGGAGGAGGAAGAGAGGGACATGCCCCCGCGGAGGCCGGGAGGCGGCCTGCGCCTCGAGTAGGGCCTGCTGCTGACGAGGCCGCCGCCGGGCTCGTAGCCGTAGGGCCTAAAGCAGTTGTCATCGTCGCTGATTTCGCCGTCTTCCAGTTCCCCTTCTTCCTTCGGGGAGAGCCTGCTACGATCCAGCGCCGCCTTCGTAGGCGCGGCCGCCGCCTCCGCGGCCGCCATGGCGCTCAGGCCAGCGGTCTCGGCGGAGCAGAGCGCCACTCGCTCGCTTTCGCTTCCTGCGCGGAGCGGGGTGGAGCAGAACACAGCGGGTCGACCCCTCTGCCCCGGGCCGGGCCGGGCCGGGCCCTACGGACTATCGCGAGACCACACCTTGTTCCCCATACCCGGGAGAGCGAGGCACGATACGTGGGGCAATGAATAAGGGAAGGGAGGCGGGGAGCGCTGGGTGTCCTGGGTAATGTAGTTCCCACTGCGGGGCACAGCCCTGGAGGGTAGGGGGCGGGGAAAGCCTGTGGCTTAACCTATAGCGGGGCAGCGGCGGGAGCCAATGGGGGTTTGGCGCGCCATGTTGGTAAAGGAGGCCGCCATCTTGTTGAAGGGAATTGTCTGCCTCGGTAGGGAGGGTGGTGAGGGGGTGTTGACTGGCTGTACGTACCGCAACTGTGGGTTGCGCTGTTCTCTACCATAAGAGTGTTAATGTCAACCTCTTTTAGCACCGTCCGAGGAAGCGCCAACTGTAGCACTCCTGGGGCGCGGGTCTTCCTGGGTGCTCATGTAGGTGCTTGTTCCCCTGAGCGACAGCCCTTCCTCCGTTGTTGGGGGCCGTGTCCTGCAGCCTCTCAAAATAGCGCACAGGCTTACGAAGAAGAGAAAGGAGCCGGTGTTCTGCCAGTGCCCAGCACCCTGGTGTACATCATTAACCTGCCAGCTGCCTCCCAGTAGCTCAGCTGCTGTTAAATATTTAAAGGATGTTTGTGCGAAGCTTTCATGACCTTGATTCAGAGAAATCTCCAGGAACTCGCCAACAAAGTTTAAGTTCGCAAGCAGGTATTCTTTACTGCGGCACCGGGAGACACGGGAGACAGCTCCTCCTAGCGTGTCTCCTCTGAGCACCAACCAGGCTGTGATTATATTGTCCTTAAACAGGCATATTCATTAGATTACATCATACTTCTAAAGAATTCTTCCCACATGTGCACTAAAATGTGGTAGTGGGCCTTGGGACCCCGGTGGTTATTTCTTCATCACTTCGTTTTAGGATCCTTGTCATATCAGTAACCAGCAGGTGGTTCTGGCAAAGCTTATCTTAGTCATTTCCTTTTCTCTGTAGTTGCTAACAAAGCCTAATGTCCTTGGAGTTACTTATCTAGAACCCTGTTCTTCAGTCAACCCCATTCTTCAGTCCACCCTATTCTTCAATCAACCCTATTCTTCAATCCACCCTACCCTTCAATCAACCCCATTCTTCAGTCAACCCCATTCTTCAGTCCCCCCTTTTCTTGTCCTATTGCAAATTCTTTTGCAACTGAGTTATATACAAGTCCAGATTATGATCGATGCAGTCTCACATGTGGGGGTCCTGAAGACTCGACTCACCGTATCTTCTCTGGCTCTGGTGCTTTCTTGACTCTTGAGTAGTGTATCCAAGCAGGCTGTTCCTTTATCCTCTAAGGTATATAATGGCCACCACTGATTACAATATTGAAGTATTTTTATTTACCGAGCCCCTGGGGGATCCTCCTAATTCTTTCCAGTGAGCCAGAATACATCCCAGAGGGCTCTTTTCTATTATTTCTCCGCTCTGTGGATTTCCCATTATTTTCCTATACACGCTATACACACACCCGCTCACATGGGATCCCAAAAATTCCACTCACTTGCTCACAATTTTGAAAACAAAGACAAAAACATACACCAAGTACATGAATACTAATTAGTAGCACAATGAAACAAAAGCAAAACCATATGTCAGGTATACAAATACTAATTAGCAGCACGATAAAAATAAAAACGGTTCACCATTCATTAATTACTCAAGCACAGCATCAAACACCGGTTTTCAGAAATGGGGTCAGATACCAGAAAAATACAACTGCGTTCCCTCATGACGTCTCCTATGCCTTACAGAACAATTCAGAATGGTTATCTGTATACCGAACGGATGCTAGGAGCCAAGTATATGGCTTTACCTATGAGATTTTTCTATCCCAATTTACAGAAGGCTTTCTTTTTCCTGCATACACCTTACAGAATATTAACCACATTCCCGCATTCCTGTGTTGGCTGTCTCCTATGCCTTATGACACGCTAATCGGGGTTCCTGCATAGGATGTCTCCTATGCCTTACGGAATGCCATAAAATAAAATAATCAAAAGAATACTTTTACAATGATGGTGATGGTCCTTGTCTGCTTCCACAGTGATACAAGTGAGTGGAGGGGTCCCTCTGGGGAAATTTTTCCCAGGGATCCCTGTCCTCAACAGGTCCTGCAGCCAAGCAGAGTGTCCCTTTGTGGTCGCTAAGGTGATTCGGAGAAATCTCCAGGAACTCGCCAACAAAGTTTAAGTTGACAAGCAGGTATTCTTTATTGCGGTGCTGGGAGACACAGGGCATAGCTCCTCTTAGTGTGTCTCCTCTGAGCATCAACCAGGATGTGATTATATTGTCCTTAGACATATTCATTGGATTACATACATTACATCACACTTCCAGAGAATTCTTCCCACATGTGCACTAAAATGTGGTAGTGGGCCTTGGGACCCCTGGTGGTTATTTCTTCATCCCTTCATTTTAGGATCCTTGTAATATCAGTAACCAGCAGGTGGTTCTGGCAAAGCTTATCGTAGTCATTTCCTTTTCTCTACAGTTGCTAACAAAGCCTTGGAGTCCTTGGAGTCACTTATTTACAACCCTGTTCTTCAATCCACCCTATTCTTCAATCAACCGCGTTCTTCAACCTGTAATTACTTTGAAGTTCAGATTGGCCTTACGGCTTCTGTGACTGTAAAGTGAGCATCAGAGAAGGTAAAGCAGTTACATAAACTCCTTAAATCATTTGCCTTAATGTCACTTTCACTGAGTGTTCTGGTGCTGCCTCATTGGTTGTTTTAGGGCATTGACATCCTGTCAGGGTATTGTCTAGTGAGCGGTGATTACTTTTCTGGGCAGAAGGAGAAACATTATTTTAAATAAAGCCTGTCAGTCTTTCTGAGTCACATTGGTGTGTCCTGGAAAACTTAGAAAACTTGACTTTTAAAACTTATAGCACAGACCCTGAGAGTTTCTTTGCAAAGGCCAGGTTGGACAGGGCTTTGAGCAACCTGGTCTAGTGAAAGGTGTTCCTGCCTATGGCAGGGGGTTGGAAATCGATGATCTTGAAGGTCCCATCCAAACCAGTCTATGATTCTGTGATAGTATATGCTAAACATCTTTGAGGACTTGCCATGGTTCTCAAACTTGGAGAAGGACTGCTGCCTTTTTGTTCTTTTCTTGAGGGTAAATTATGAAGGGTTGGTGGTTTTTGGTTTACGTTTTTTTTTTCAGTGAATAATGTGCTGTAATTGTACAGTTACCAAAAATAAAACTCAGTATCATGTTACTATTTATTTTTCTTTGCCTTTCTCTCTAGATTTCTTTAGATCCAACAAGATCCAACAAGATCCACAAGAGTGGATAATGCGTGTGCTTTGTAAAGTTCAAAATGTTGTGCCAAATAGATTTACTTTTCTTTGATCAAAACACTTTGCATCATCTTGTTTTGACCAAACTGGACAAACTACATGACTTAGAATAGATACCATTACAATGGCTTGGCTTTGTACAAAATTCGGGGTAATGGAATGCATATATCATGTCCTAAATTTCTCCAGTTTCTTCTATTTAGAGCAGTGTGTGTTCTATTAAGATACTTGCAAGGAAGAATGAAGCAAGTTAAAAGTTTGGGTTTGGTATTTAAAGGTGGGATGAAATGGGAGTGGAGATGGAAGGTTTCCTAACGGCACAGGGAGGTTGGAACTAGATGATCTTCAAGGTTCCTTCCAACCCCAATCATTCTGTGATTCTGCATCTGTCATATTGCAGTAGTTGGTGTGTAATTTGTGTCAATTCTTCATTTCAAACAGATGTTATTTTTAGAAATGGTGGTTCATTGGTGGGTTATGCTATTTTACATATCACACAGTACTAAAACCACTTGCAGATATGACACAGGACCTGCTTAATACTTTCTGAAGTAGCAGCTGGGGGGAAGTCAGGCAGGTTTCTTAAGCTGTGCTAGGTTCCTATGTCTGTGTCTGAAATCTGATCCACTGTAGTTACAAAGAAGTTTCAATATCACTGCATCTAAGCTGCAGAAATTCCCCTCCCAGCAGATGTTTGTTTACTTGGGCATTCCAGAGCTTTGCATGTATCTGGTTCTAGTTTCATTTGTACAGTTACCTTTATTTCTAAGTGGTTTACACACCAGTAGGAAATTAGTATCAGCATCTTTTAGAGTGGGAAGGAAAATGTTTGTAGAGCTGAAATTGGCAAAATAGCAGCATTTCCTATGGGAAATTAACCAGATGTGGGTATTCCCACTCTACTGGCTGTTAGTGCATGTTTACCTACCAGTGTGCTGAATTTATTCCACAATGCTATATGATCTGTATTATAAATTTCTAACAGAGATACTCAACCATCTGGAAAAAAAAAAAGATTCTGAGACTCTTCCAGTGGTTTTGCGTATCCTGTAGTATCATATGTCCCTTCTTTTATTTCAGTCATCTGAGACCATCTGCTTTTTGCTCTTGTCTGGTGCAATCAGACAAGTAATTCTATGTCTAAATGTTCAGGAAGAAGCAGATTCATCAACTGTATTCATTACTGTTAATAAACAAGGAAATCAGTGATGTTAAATTCTTGTTTGTAAAGGTAATAACATGGCATGTGTAAAAAGAATGTGTTGATCTGATGGTTTTGGTATGTGCGCATTGGAACAAAAGGCTATTTGGAAACCAAGGGAGCTGCAATTCAAAGAGAAAACATTAAGACATTTTATCTTAGCTGCATTTGACTTCGTGCCTTTGAAAGGGATGATGTTGCTGCTGGAAAACAAATTTTTGTATTAAATACTGAAAATGTTTTCAGTAAAGTACAAATGGAATAATTTAAAATACAGGAAAGCATACGTCTTAATACAGGAGCACAGAATTTGATTTATTTTTAATCATACTCCCTGAATATTACCTGCACCTCTAGACAAAGTGTGCTGGTTTTGGCTGGGGTAGAATTAATTTTCTTCACAGAAGCTGGAATGGGGCTATATTGTGGATTTTTGCTGAAAACAGTGTTGATAACACAGGGATGTTTTAGCTGCTAAGCAGTGATCACACAGAATCAAGGACTTTTCTGCTTCTCACCCCACCAGCAAGAAGACTGCAGGTGCACAAGAAGCTGGGAGGGGACACAGCCAGGACAGTTGACCCCAACTGACCAAGTGGATATTCCAGACAATAAATTACAAATCCCAGCATTATTATATCTGTTGAAGTTTTAAATATCCCTGACATAAAAAAAAATCACCATATTTTAATTTTCTCACTATATGTGTCTCAAGCTCTTCATCTGGAGCTGAAAACCAATATTGAGTTAGTAGTCTTCATTATGTTTTTGCTTTAAGTGACCTTATTTCTGGTCCACAAAACATTAAAAAAAATAATCAAAGTTTAAGGCAGAAAATTAGTGATATGTTTACCATTGAAGTGGTTACAAGTAAGATGGAATCTTGTTTTTCAGAAGCACAATCTGAGCTTTAAGGACTGGGCCACATTTCAGGATATAAAAGACATTCAGTATCTTTTGGTACTGCAGTGTTTGTCTGAGGCTAACTATATGATTATTTTGTTCCGTTCCTACTTTGTAAGTGTCAGTTATGATTGTCTGACACCAACACAAGACTTAATCTATCTGGGTTTAAGCTTAATTCACTTCATATTAAATTGCAACTTGTATTGGTGCATTTGGTCTGGCTGGGATGGAGTTTCTAAATCACAGCCCATATGGTGCTGTGCTTTGGGTCTGTGGCTAAAACAGTGTAGGTGACATACCAGTGTTTTGGATGTGGCTGAGTCCTGCCTGCCCAGCCTCAAGGTGCCGCCCTCTTTTTTCCAATCTGCCCATGCCCCCATGAGTGGGCTGGTGGTGGGCAGGAGGTTGGGAGGGGACACAGCCAGGACAGCAGACCCAAACTGGCCAAGGGGACGTTCCACACCATGTAACCCTGCGCTCAGTACGAAAAAACAGCAGAGGAAGAAGATTGATGGTGGGGGAGTTGTCTTCTAAGCTGATGTTGCCCTAAGACTTACGGCCGAGCTGATGTGGCTCAGCATCACTCTGCTTATGAGAGGTGGCAAGTGATTCTCTTTGCTATGCTTGGTTCTATGTTCTTTACCTCCCCTCTGTCATGGTTTAAACAAAGTCAGCCATAAATCACACAGTCACTCTCTCACTCCTCCCCACCCCCCTCTTTTTCCCTCCCCCTACTCCCAGAGGGATGGAGAGGAGAATTGAAAAGAATGCAACTCCCACGGGTTGAGATAAGAACAGGTTAGTAACTAAGGTGCAACACAAATCACTACTGCTACCATCAGTAATAAAAATGGTAAAGGAAATAACAAGGGAAGAGAATACAACACCTCAGCACCCGCCGACCAATAACTCACCCCACCCTGCCCAACCGAGCACCGACTGATACCTAGTCCAACCCCACAGTGTACTAACCCTTCCGGGTAACTCTCAGTTACATCCCAGGCATGATGTCCTGTGGTATGGAGGTTTGGCTAGTTTGGGTCAGGTGTCCTGTCTCTGCTTCCTCCTGGCCTTCCCTCCTCCCTGGCAGATCATGAGGCTCACAAAGTGCTTGGTCAGACTAAACATTTGAGCAGTAACCAAAAACATTGGTGTTATCAGCACTGTTCCCAGGCTGAAAGTCAAAAACACAGCACTGCACCAGCTACTAAGAAGGAGAAAAAATGACTGCTACTGCTGAACCCAGGACACCCTCTTAAGCTGGTTTTTATCTCAATCCATGAGTTTTCTCACTTATGACAAAGGCATTCTACATAAAAAGTTGGAACACTATAGACGGTATTTTAATTTCTAAGAATTATGTTGTGGGAAAATAATGGAAGACTGGTGAGGAGGATTGTAAACACGCCCAAGTGACTTGCAGCTGAGGTATCTAAAACAAGTATGCTAATTGTTATTTAGCCTTGTGTGTTGGACAAGTAGAACATTTGTGTTTAGATAACATAAGCCTGTGACAGACAGAGGCACCCTATCAGACATGCTTGAGATTCTTGCCCTGTTGTAGGAAAAATCAAAGCATGGTGGTAAACTCTGCCTGCATGAATCCTTGATAAACAGGCAAAACCAGTTGTGCCCATGTCTCTGCTTCTGCCCAGAGGCTGCTTCAGGGATCCCCCAGCTGGCGAGGTGATGGAAATGAATTTACTCTTTGCATTTCATCTGTGGTTTTGTGGTTGTTCCTGCATCCTGCCCGTACTGGCTCACACAATGTTCAGTTAATCCATAACTTGACACTATGCAAGTTGCACAATTTCACATAATGCTGTTGTTTCCTAACTGATTTCCTGTTTTTTTATTTGCTTATATAACAGAAATACATGAAATCTTCCTAAGAAGAGATTTATATCCAAGAAGAAACATCCAGCTTCAAAAGAAACATGAAATGTAAACATGTTCTTACTGAATGCAGTTAATGCCTTCAAAAGACACGTGAAAGTAAAAGGAAGTAAAAATTAGAGACAGTAACACTGAGAAAAAGAAGGAAGAATCACATTCAAGCAGCAGGCAGAGCTGCACAATGATAGATGGAAATATTTGCCTCATGAGAAGCTCAAAATTAAGTAATACTTCACCAAGAGATACGACTGAGCAAATTATATTAAATGCCTTAAGGAATCTTCCCTGGGATGAGTTAAAAATATGACAGAAAGATGAGGTATTTATAAGAAATAGGAGATTAAAATGAGATCTTTCACAGAAGACTATTTATAAAGCTTTTCAAATCAAAAAGTAGTCTGTAATCTTTACTTAGGTATTTATGGTGAGTTAGTGCTAAAATATGAATAAGTCACATTGATATGTTCTCAGACATTCACTCAGTGATGAGAAAAAAACCTCCCTTTTATGACTGTTTTATTATTCAATAGCTATTGAAGACATCTTTAAGATCTGGCAGGTGTTAAAATGTGATTTTAGGTTTTTATCTCAGGTAATAATAATGTCTGATGGAAAAGCTGTTTCTGAGAGTTCTGTCTTTCCCAAAGTGCATACAAGAAGCTTTTTGCTTCTGGAAGAGGCTTTCTATTTAGAAACGTTAAAATAATCACTGCAGGTAACTTCAGATGGAATGCACTTGAGTAGCAGTTCACTTCCTCCTGTTAGATATTGCTAAAAAGAATGGCACTTTTCTCTAGGGAACCTCAGCGCCCTTTCCTTTGTCCCCAGAGATCTGCAACTGAGGATCCTGCATTGCTACTTGAGACTCTGGACAAGCCTCTCTGTAAGGACTCAAAGAAATGAATGGCATGCTGAGGAGAAGTAACCAAGCAAGGTCAGAAATTGAACCACAGAACTAGTGCCCTCTTTAAAGCAAAGAACACTGTAGGCTATTCCTGTAGAGTTTGTATCGTAGTTGAAGCTTGTACTTACATTGTACTTGTACATCTGGACCAAGGTTAAACCCAAAGACTGGTAAGTGTGCAGTTTTTTTTTTTTTTGGCCTTTGATGGGACTATTTGTGTTCTTTAATTCTTCAAATTGTGTACATTGTTGATCAAAATAAAGAACTAGAACGATCTTGCAGTGTTTTCCTTTCATTTCCTGTTTTACCACACGCATGTACTTTTACTAATCAGGAGTATCTTGGGAGTTTAAATCCTCTTCATATAAAAGATAAGTTATGGTATGTGGATGCTACAGCCAATTTTATGTTAGAGATATTTAACAGATCAAATGTCTGGTCATTTTTTACACTTTGATACATACACAAATACATAGATGGATGATTAAGTTCAACACTTCCAATTGGTATTTTCATGTTTTTCCTAAATGCTTTTAAAATAATTCAAATACTACTTAAAAAATCTGAAGCTAAGGGCTCAAATTAGCATAATGTAAAATAAGCAATTTCACCTTTTCTGTTTGACAGGTAAATACTGCTGAGGGTTGGGTTGTACACTGAATGTTGGAAGGAGAGAGAAGTGAAAAAATAAAACTCATATTGATTTGACAATACTTATTTTTTCCTGAAGAGATGGATGAAACTTTACTATAGCATTTTCATCTATATCAAGGTACAATTCCTTTCTTTCTGTTAAAAACACTTTAGAAACATACAGTTTTTCTCAGTTCTTAAAATTCCTGAATATAAACATTTTTAAGGTAGTATTTCCTACAGCATATACTCAGAGCAGAGGATAACAAAATTGGTGTTGAACGCAAGTCACAAGTTAGTTGCTGCAACAATAAATGAAGCCATTAATAAACATCTTTTTGGATGGAGGGAATGAAGGGTTACATGAGGATACCTGTTTATTTGTACTGGTCAGAAGTGAGGATGATCAGAGGCTAGAGCACCTCTCCTATGAAGACAAGCTGAGAGAGTTGGGGTTGTTCAGCCTGGGGGCCTCCAAGAAATCTGGGGAGGGACTTTTTACAAAGGCATGTTGTCACAGGACATGGGATAATGTCCATGATTTAAATAGGTTCCCAAGATTGTATAGAACATGATGTCAGCTCACAGTTTTGTGGGCTATCAAACATCTATTATCATTAGACAATCAATGACAATTAATAGCTTTGGTACAATTACTCTGTCCCATATAGCATGTTGCATCTGCTTTCAAGTAACAAGTATTCCCGGGGTAATTAATCCCAGGTAGTGGGTAGGAGTTGGAGCTTCATGCACATTTCTGTTGAACCAAGTCGGATCAGTTCCCATTTGTTGCCAGCGGGGGTGCCCTTCGACAAGGAATTTCTGCCCTGTGGTGACAAATTACATGCTATAGGAAGTACAGTGACACCTTCACTAGAGTGATGAGGGATATGGGAACACACCCAGCATTTTGAAACACGTAAGTCTTTAGATAATGGTAGGCCAACTGAAGAAAAGTATTTTAATAGTTTATGTTAAGATATAAGGACTTTAAACTCCTGGAGGACAGTGTCTTTATGGGTTCCCTTCTCTTGATCTTGAGTCATCTGTGTCCCCCCAACTGGCAACTAAGTTCCATGCAGCTGGTTACTCACTCCCCTTTCCCAGTGGGATGGGGAGGAGAATGAGAAAAATGTAGAACTCATGAATTGAGATATGAACAGGTTAATAACTGAAATGAAGTAAAATATAATACTACATGATAATAAACAAAATAGAGGAATAAACCGCAAGAAAGACAAGTGATGCACAATACAATTGCTCACCACCCGCTGACCGATACCCAGCCCTATCTAGCCAGCTCCTCCCAGTTAACCTACTGGGCATGACATCCTTTGCTATGGAATATCCCTTTGGCTAGTTTGGGTCAGGTGTCCTGTCTCTGCTCCGTCCTGGCTTCTCCTGCCTCTCCTCACTGGCAAGAGCATGAGAGACTGAAAAGTCCTTGATCAGGAAGTGTTGCCTAGCAGCAACTAAAACATCAGTGTGTCATCAGCATTGTTCTCAGACTAAAGCAAAAACAGCACTGCATTGGCTACTGGGAAGAAAGTTACCTCAGCTGAAACCAAGGCAACCTGTGAGTGAATAATCCTCATGCATTTCATTACAGCCTTGCAGTAATTCAACGTGACGTCATCAGTCATTTATAGCTTGGATCTATGTGGTGGCTTAGGTGGGGTATGCAGTAACCTTATGTGTTTACTTACAAGAACTTCTTATGGGGATAGTACATGTGTTTTTATTCACATGTCCTTGATGTATACTGGGGCCAAAGGTAAAGCATTTGGCCATTTTAGGCCACTTTCTTCACAAATTTTGGCCAGTATGTTTCTTAAAAAGAATTCTTCCTTTCAGCAGCTCAACAGAGCAAATGATGCTGGATTCCTAGGGCTTTATAGAACCACTGGACAACTTGTCCTGTGAAATGAGTCCCCTGGTTGCTGTGTAATACAAGGAGTATTCCAAAATGAGGCATTCACTCAAACGTTTCTTGGTGATTGCTGTGGTTTAACCCCAGCTGGCAACTAAGTACACAGCCACTTGCTTGTCCCCCTGCCCCAGGTGGGATGGGGAGGGGAATTGGAAAAAAGGTAAAACCTGCTGGTGAAGATAAGAACAATTTAATAATTAAAATAATCTATAATATAATAATAATGACAGAGACAGAGAGAAAACAAAAAACCGCAACATTAGTGTACAATACAATTTTCACCACCTGCTGACTGAAGCCTAGCCTGCCCCTGAGCAGCGATTGCCGGCTTTCATCCAACTCCCCCCAGTTTATATACTGGGCATGACGTGTTGGGGTATGGAATACCCCTTTGGCCAGTTTGGGTCAGCTGTCCTGGCTGTGCTCTATCCCAGCTTCTTGTGCCACTCCTCACTGGCAGTGCATGAGACCGTGAAGAGGCGGTTGCCAATGAATAGGATTGTAGACCTTTGGTGGAAGTACAGACATGTCCTGATTTGGCTATGATAGAGTTAATTTTCTTCCTAGTAGCTGGCACAGTGGTTTAGGCTTTAGTCTAAAAATAATGTTGATAACAACATTTTAGTTGTTGCTAAGCAATGGTTAACTCTAAGTCAAGGACTTCTCATGCTCTGCCAGAAAGGAGGTGCACAAGAAGCCAGGAGGGAGCACAGCCATGACAGCTGACCCACACTAGCCAAAGGGGTTCATCATACTGAGGATATAAACTGGAGGGAATTACCAGGAAGGCCCAGATTGCTGCTTGGGTCAGGCTGGGTATCAATCAGTGGGTGCTGAGCAATTGTATTGTGCATCACTTTTGTTTTCTGAATTTTCATTTCTCCTTTTTTTTTTGTTTCCTATTATTGTTATTCTAGTTATTATTTCTACTATTATTACATTTTATTTCATTTCAATTATTAAACTGTTCTTATCTCAACCCGTGGGGTTTTACCTTCCTCCAGTTCTCCTCCCCATCCCACCCAGGGTGGGAGGAGTGAGCAAGCAGCTGGATGGTATGTAGTTGCCAGCTGGGGTTAAACCACAAGAAGACAGCACACCCTGAAGCTGGATGTCCTGGGAAGCTGCTAGAACAGTACCCATCTACAAAAAGGTTTATGTCTCGCTATTGTAGGGGAACATCTCTGATGTCATGGGGTGGTGCTGGGGGTTGCTCTGTAACAGAAAGATGGCTGTGGCAGTCTGCATAGGAAGAGGCAGGATGTAATGCTGCAGGGTTAAGGACAGAACAGCAAGATAAATGTTGGTTGCTGACAGGAGTCATTTTCTTTGGAAAATACGTTTTTGCAAGTTGGAAATATGCTGGGGTTTCCCTTTTAAATTGAGTGTGGCAATGATCCAGAACCAGAGTATCCAGGGTTTCTTTCAATCAGAAAAAAAAAAAAAATAACACCAGCAGTTACCTTCTCTGATTTCTTTTGTTTGGGTTTTGTTTTACTGTTTTTTTTTCCATTGGAAGTCTTTTCATACTAGCTGAAAAAGCCATCGCAGTAGACCTGGACCAGCAGGTTGCCTATTTATACTATTGAAAATATCAACGAGGGAACCAGACTTCCAAAAATTAACACCTCATGAAAGTTATATTTAAAAAAAAAAAAAGGAGTATGCATGTTACTTCTCAGTTGGTAGGTATGAAAACTTTGGGATTGCAGACTCAGAGAATTAAATTGATCTGTAAAGGGGTGTGACATGACCCTCTCTGCCAGGACATTTTTTTCAGCTTTTCTTGTAGCACTTTTCTGTTATTCTTCAGCCTAATATGAACTATGAATGTAGGAAAATTAAAGAATTTTAAGTGTTTTGTCCAGCTCCAGACATCTTTTCTTTACACTATCTTCAGAAAAAAAATCAGGAATCTTAACTCATCAAGAAAACAGAAGTGGAAGGGGATGACATTCACAAAGACCCCAATTTAAAGCACAGAAAGCTAATATTTCACTTTGCCTCTGCTGCTAAATAAGTGGGGTTGGGTCCAACCCCTGACCCCAGGGCCAGCTGGATTTTAGGACTAGCCCACTCTCTAGGGACCTCCTGGAAACAGCTCATTGGAGAAGTCCAAATACAGCTGCAGAGTCCATTTACAATTACATGGTATCACTGTGAGGTCAGTGCTTGAGCTGCACCGAGGTGTTCTTTATTTATTTAACAGTATAAATTTATCATCAAAGCCTTCTCTCTTAGTTTATGGAGAAAGAAAAATACCTTTATACTGGTTGTTTCAGTTCACCTAATGACTGTGACTTCACAGGGTGGACACATTGCAAAAATCTCCTTGTGTTAATTGATAGGAGAACAGTGGCTTCCACGGGCTGAACTTAACTTTTATATATACACCACAGTGTCCTAAGACAATGAATACTTGAACATCATGCCATG